TATTACTTTTTTTTATGGTATCCTACTAAAGGCAATATATTTAAATACAAACTAGAAAAAGTATCTATATATAAAAAAAATTACACAAGGCTCTGTCCAAATATGCCCACATAGAGTCAGAGGCATTGTCAGATTGATTCTTAGTCCATATGAATCAATTGCCATTCAGTTTTATATCAATTAACTAAGTTGAATCGATGTTCTGATGAAACAAATTAAAACATTTCCTTTAGCTTCATTGATTTTACTTTATTTTTTTCTTAGATAAATACAAAACTGTCATAAACTATTTGAAATTATATCCAATAATCCTTGACAGCAACGAGAGGGAAGCGAAAAAGAGATAATAGAAGGAAAAGACATAGTAGAAAAAGAGAATTACAAAACTCACAAGGAGGGGGAGCATAAGAGATAATGAGGGACATTGATGAAGTTAGAACCCTAAGCTGGGGACAAATTGTACTGTTCGTTAATAACACGATCAATTATTAGATTAGTTATTTATTTTTTGTTTTGTGTTTATGATTATTATTTATTTATTTATTAATTGGAGATGTTATTTACTGAAATTTTTTTTTGATATTTAGATAGTAGAAGTGGACCTATTCTTTAATAGATCTTGTGGAACTCCTTGAGAAGAGAAATATTTTGTTGCTTCAACTACATTGTGGAATAATGTAAATATTTAAACATTCTATCTTTTTGTTTTAAAATCAATCCATGAATCATATAGGCAGGATTCTTAGTTAAATTATTTTGGTTGGTATATACTGTATCGGAGTAAAACTCCAAATGCTGCTTAGATGTGTTTTTGGTAGGTTGTAGAGATTTCAAGAAATCCAACTTACAGCAGAGACTCTGTCAAAATTTTTACAGCTAGTTTAAGTATTTTGTTTCTATTAATAATTGCTTAATATAAGTGATGATTGTACGATAAAATTAAAGTTAGATGTGTTAAGAATTTAAACTTATAAAATATGAGTTTTTTAATTTTTCAGCTGGTCACACTTTAAAAATTTAGGGTGTGACAAATCAATTCATCATCATCAGCATGAGACGTAGGCATCTTTAATTTAATCATTCTACAAATGAAGGATGGTTTTACAAAAATATGGCATTAAGATGTTGAGGAAAAACAATGCTTAACTGAAAAAGCATGATCATTATGTAAAAGTCCAGCCCCTTTGTTTTTTTTTTTCTGGGAAAAGAAATGTAGGAAAACAGACAATCATCAGGAGTAGGCTGTGAAAGACTTGAGTCATCATCCTGGCACCTGACAATTATAAGCTTCTTCCTTCTCCCAAATCCACTAAAAAGAATAAACGAGAAATGTTCCAAATTCCTAGTTAATTCCCAAGATAGCTCCTTTCCTGTAGATAATGATATATGTTTCGTGATTAAATTGATAACTGTCATTGTTTACCGATGAAATAAATTTAATCCTCCATAACAAACAACGGGAATGTTATAATAATCAATATTTTTAGAATTGGATCGGACATTGAATCGGAAAAGTCAGCGATTTATGATTCGCATGGTTCAACCGAGTTGGATCAATTGTCCAACCGGTGACGTAATAATTAAATTAAAAAAATTATATATGTATATAATAATTTAAATATAAGAAATACATATAAAATTTCTATTTAACTTAAAAAAAATTAAATATTTTAAGTTTATCATGACATAATAAGCCACATGATATAACATAATATCAAATGATTAAAAAAATTAGTCATTTTTTAAAAAAATTTGATAAAAAATAAAAAAAAGTTTTTTTGAACAGTTCAATTTTTGAAAATTAGATCCGGTTCCCAGCTTGATTCCGGTTCCCGGTCCGATCGCCGGTTTGAAATGGATCAATCCAGCTCAACTCCTAAAATGATTTTTTTTCTATGAACCAGATCGATCGATGGTTAGATTAGTTCGACTATTTGGTCCAATTTGATTTTTAAAACACTGATAATAACATTGATAGTTAACAGAATTGACAGGTGGAAGCAGATACTACTCAGATCATCTTATTATGATAGTTTTTGGAGCAAACAGATCATCTTATTAATTAAATGGAGAATTTGGGCCTACATTTCATTGACTTTTATTTGGCGAATATGAGGCAGCAGCTTAGCCCTCCAATCATGCGTATCCATAGTAGGGTCTGCATCTTGAGGAGATTTCCAATGATCGAACCTATTCAATCCAAATTAGAGAAGGTACCGAAATTTGACCAATTAAATGAAATCAAGCTTTAAAAGCAAACATATAAATTGATCAGGCACTTTTAAACAAGTCAATAGAAACTACTGGCTTATTAAGAAAATAATGGACTTAAGATCGTAAATACTCTTGCGAAAACCAAAACCCACATTTACAAAAAAAAAAGGTTTGGCACCTGATATCAGCTCGTGTTCATAATTCAGCAAATTCCTCAAGTGAACAGACGAGATAGTATGATGTGAAAATGAAATTCCCCATCCTCATCTTTCATGGCCATGACTAGTACTATTCCTAATGCATCATACACCAAAATCGTTTGGAATATGTTTCTTTTCCGTTAAAATAAACTAGCACTTGATCATCCATCGTCTAGAGAACTGAGATTAGTTTCCCAGTACTTTCAAATTCTTCGCGAGTTGGAAAATATTTCACATATGCCAGCCGTAATGGAAGGTAAAGAGGTTCACCCAAGTGATAACAAGTACTGGAAAAGCATGCTATAACAAATCAGAGAAATATGATCTCTCCTAAAGTAATAGTATTTTGTAAAACATGTTTTGAAAATAAAAAAATAATAAAAAATATGTATTTTTTTATTCTCTTTTATTCTTCAGAATAATAATCTCAAAATATTTAAAAAATGTTTCTATTTTTTTTATTCTACAGAATAATATTTTATTTTTTATTCTCCAAAATTCTTTTTTTTAAAATATGTTACTAAACAGATTGTTTGATTTTTTTATTTTGGAGAACAGAAAACTATTTTCATAACAAGTTGCCAAACAGGTTTGTAAATAATTTATATGATTTTTGGATATATTTTTAGAAAAGTAAAATTGAAAATATGAATTGAAAAACAAGTAATAGTATCTTATCATATAACCATGATTTTGAGTTCACAATTAATTTTGGCATGTATGAGGGTGTTTGAATATTTTTAAAAAAACCATGATAATTAGTTCATAATTAATTTTGGCATGTATAATGAGTGTTTGATTTTTTTTTGGAAAACATGGTTTTTTAACCGTAATTGATTTTAATATGTAACAAGGATGTTTGGATATATTTTCACAAAACTATGATTTTACTTGCTTTTCAATTTTTCATTTTAATTCTACTTTTTAATTCTAATTAAAATTAATCTTATTAATTAATTTTATAATCAATTATATACCTCATAACATAATTAATTATATTCAAAATCAATCATATTAATTAGTTTGCTTATAATTAATTATACACAACTGAAATCCAATTGATTATTTTTTGGAAAATATGGTTTTTTATCCATAATTGATTTTAATATGTAACAAGGATGTTTGGATATATTTTTATAAAACCATAATTTTACTTGTTTTTCAATTTTGCATTTTAGTTCTACTTTTCAATTATGATTAAAATCAATCTTATTAATTAATTTTATAAATTAATTATATATCTCATAACATAATTAATTATATTCAAAATCAATCATACTAATCAGTTTGTTTATAATCAATTATGTACAACTGAAATTCAAATATTTCCCTTGTCTCAATTCTTAAGTAATCAACCACCGCATTAAATTTTAAATGATCTGGATTTAATATTTTTTAGTATTTTTTTTTAATTTTTTTCAATGCTCTCCTAAACTATTCAAATCAAGTTTGGATGGAAAGATAGAAAATTTGAGAAAAAAATTGAATGGAAAACAACCTGTTTGGACGAGGAAAGAAAAGTGGAAAAGAAAATCTTTCCATTTCTTCAACCCAAGCATCCTCATCGGCATTGCCTTGCACTATTCTTCCTTGGTATTATTGTCCTTGCTCATTTTCCCCCAATGATTGGATTTTTTTTTCCATTTTTTTGAATTCTTTTTTTTAATTTTGTCTTATTTTTCTGATTCTATCTTCTTCACACAAATATACCCAGTAGATGGATATGTTCATCCACCCCCCTATGCTTCTCTTTCCAAGGCTTTGATTTTTGATTTTCTCACAATTGAAAAATATTCCACTCATGCGGATGAGGATATGGAAAATATTTTTAATCTTGATTTTGAAGTATAACCTTTGGTTTTGATTTATTCAAAACTAGTTGGGCATTAGTGTAATCTTTAAGTACCTTCTTAAAGTTCGAAATTGATTTTGAATGTTAAATTTAAGAGGAAGGATTGTATATTAATTAATATATTTTGTATCTGAATCTTGAAGTATATATTTGTATATATTAGGAAGGAGTTTGTGTGTGTGTATATTGATACAATGAAGGAGTATACATTAATATATATTAATTTTTAATTCTGGTATGAAATTCAGTTTCTTGATACATTTTGATAAAGGGTTATTATAATTATTACCATATTTGCTCTTTTTCTCTGTTTTTTCTTCTATTTAAATGTAATGAGCGGTAACAATTTCTTTTTCAATTTTTTTCATTTCCTTTAAAGTTTTCTTCCCCCAAATCGGAGTTGGGAGGAAAGAATAATCCTATCTAGTATAGTGATTTATATTTATTAGATTATTTTTCATAAATCTTGTCATAAACCATTATATCATGGTTTAACACTTAATAATGACCTTTGTCATCCCTCTTTTGGCCAACTTGACAGAGGCGGTTGAAAGTTGGAAGTTGAGGAGAAAATGATCCGAAAAGCAAAAAGAAAATAAGGAGGAGAAAATTAAGAAGAGAAATTACAAAAAAAAGTTTTTTTTACTATTTTTAGAAACTTTTTTCTTTTAATTTTACTTGTTCTCTATTTTTTTCTTATCCAACCAAAGAATAAGGTCCAAAGCCACTCCAAATCCTATGCAAGCATTCCTTCTCATTAGTCATTACATCAAAGGCCCTATAAGCCAATATTGCAAAACGACACACTACAGAGGACATACAGAGGACACTACAATCGAAATAGTGGCCTGGCCATTAACATTTGGTCCACATTATTTGCAATGGCCTGAGGAAATGAGACAACGAGTATATGAAAATACAGCTATCGATAAAAAACAAAGGAAAAAAAAAATCAGCTATCTATAGATTGGTGACAAAATCAGCTAGCCACTGAGGCCGCTTCCTTTTTCTTATAGATTGTCTTCCTGAAGCATTTCTCTCTCCCTCTGATGGTGCCACCTGCCCTCCAAGCACTTGAGCCCGCCTAACAGTAACAGACCCTATTCACCATTCAAAAAATAAAAATATGATTTTTCTTAACATTCACCATTCAAAAAATAAGCTTCATTTGATCCACAACATAGAGCATTGATAACTTCTTCATGGTTCTTAAAAAAAAATAAAAAGTTTGTTGGAACTTTTATCTTTTTAAAAATTGCATATCTTTTCAATTATTCACTCATTAAATTTCCTAAATAGATGCCTTAATAATGACAATTGAAATTCAATAGATCTATTTTCTAAAAGAAATAAGAAATGAAGTGGCGGTATAGTTAAAAAAAAATTATAAAAACTATCTAATACACTATATTTTGGATCAAACAGTGATTCTAACAAATGTCCCATATTATGAACAAGAGAGTGCATCATTTCCAAACCACCTACCTTAAATATATATATATATATATATATATATAGACTTCATTGAAAACATTCAAATTGAGCGAAGACATGTCACATCTTTCAAGACAACTACATACATTTTGCACACAGTTCACGAGATACATTGGTGTTGGGCATTGGCTTTCCTCCTCTGAAAGGAGAAGAGAAACCAATATAGATTTGGACCATTAAATTGGATTTGATGATTTAGATTTGATAATTTTTAAAAGTATATATTTAATGCGAAATGTTCAAATTTGCAGTAGAAAAATAGAGGAGAGAAAAAGCAGTGGAGAGAAAACACACACACTCCATGAGATACATTATTTTACACACTGCGCATACTTCTACACATGCACCATAAAACCTAACATCATTAGCTTAGTTCTCATTAAGTTTTATTCACAAATCAAAACATCAAATTGTTCTGACCCCAAAAAAAAAAAAAGGTATGAAAGTACTATCAGCTCATGACCTTGCATAGGCTACTTGTAGCAAACAGATCAGACCATGAAGCTTTTGAATTCCAATACCTGTATCTGAAGGTCCATCACCATTGTCACCAAGGTTTGATCGCATAGAGTTAGCTATGGTGTTTTGGCCTCTATTTTCCATTGTCAGCATCTTCAATGATATTCTCCGAAGATAATCAGCCTGAAATCAGGGAATGTTAGAGATGAAAGAAATCATGGCAATCCATGATATTCTACAAGACAGTTAACCTACTGCTCAACTTTCTATCACAATTCATCTGCTCAGATGAATGATCTATCAAGAGGGCTGTCAGAATTAAAACTGTGATGCTCTACCTGGCCCGTTGCTGCATTGTAAATCTTCTCCTCAAATCTTGCAGCAATTTTACGAAGTTCATCTAATCCCTCTTGGCCAGAAACAGGAAGATGTCTTCTTAATGTTTCCAATCTATAAGGTGAATAACACCAGTTTAATTACAATAACTCATAGGGAAGCATATAGCATTAGACAGTCCTCCAAATAACAAGCATGATCATAAGGTACCGTTCATGCCCTTCACATTTTCCAAAAGAAATGCACAGAATTTTGGATTTTGATTAGAAATATAAATGATGACAGTATCAAATACTACTCCTCCTTGTAACATTTCATGTCCATTTTCATATCAAAAAAGGACCAAAAAGCAACACAATAGCATGGACTCATCAAGCTCAGTTCAGAGTTATACATGGATACCATAAAATGAATTTCCTAATTGGAGGAGATTATCTCTTTTGCGTCTTAAAATGCTCCCCTCTCCACAATTTAAAAAAAAAAAAAAAAGCATACAATAAGAAGCCTCTTAACTTTTTTTTTTTTTTTGGCCAATGAAGAAGTCGTCTAACTACACCAAACAAGAAGCAGAATATAACTGAAAAAAACACATAATAATAAGTGTATTAAGAAACCTCCCAAATATCGAATTGCGGTGGGGACCTCTTAAAAAAAATTAAATTAAAAATAAGTTCAAGACACAAAGTATGCAAAAAAATACAATTCAATATCATAAGAAAAATTATGTTTTATAGTTCCTCAGCCACAAAACATAATCTTGAGCATCAATCTTAAGTTGGTTATCAATTTAATTCCGAATAAAAAATGAGAGAACTCTAACGAAGTGTGGAATACGATTTTCCCCCATCATGCAATATATGACCAAAGTAAAACAACATAAAAATTTATACATTCTGTTGATGATTCTTCCGCGACTATCAGGTTGCAGTCCAGCCGTCCAATACTCTGTAAAGGATCATCCAACTTGAGTACCTCTCCAATTATTCATACTAACAAATTTAGATTGAGGAATCAATAACACAGTACTTAAATCATATCTGATTGTCGATGGAAAAACAATAGTAGCATGGTTGCATGCAGAGAAGACAATAAAAATAACATCAATTAATAATATCAAATCAAAAGAGTAATAAATTACTATGACAGAAAAGCACTCCTATCCAAGACAAAATTACAATGCAAATGCACAAAATTTGGATGATATTCAAATGAAATACAAGACGTATTTGTTTGAGATAAAAATTAAAGGAAAATATCATAAAACTTAGCCAACATTCTATATATGATATCAAACAAAAAAGAAGTTGCAAATTGAAATTTTCGTTAGTGGAAAGCTAAGGCTGAATTGCTAAGAATAAAGTCAGAGTAGACCCTGAACATTCAACCAATACAATGAGTTCAGAGGCTTTAGGATTAAAAACTTCCAAAATCTAAAATGGGTTAATAACTGAATCCGATGGCATAACAGTGATATTGTTCTGGGACTTACTTTCACTTATTAACTGCAACATTGAAGATATTTTCTGTAAATAATCTTCCTGAAATTAGGAAATGCCAAAATGTAAGAAAATTAGCATCACAGCAAATCAGCAATCATGACAGCATTTAAAAAAAAAAAAAAAGTGGGCCACTGCTAAAGTTAAGCCTGTTAAAACAATACTTACATCATGATTCACCCATCTGCATAGATGACCGCAAATTATTATAGTAATTGAGATTACACATTATTGGTGTATGTACCTGGCTAGTTGCGCCAGCATAAGTCTTCTGCTCAAAACCTTGTGCACTTTTTAGAAATTCAAGTAATTCATCATCATCATCACCGTCAGACTGATACGATTTCAATATACTCATTCTACACAATGAAGAGTTGTGTTACAATGATATGGAATCAAGAAGTTGAGGACTATATACAACGGTCAACTGAAAAAAATATGATCATTATCTAAGCGTCCAGCCCCTTCATTTTTTTTTTGGCTGGTTTTTCGTTTTATTGAAAATAAATGATAAGAAAACATGTCATCTGGAGTGGATTGTCACGATGGATGTGCGGACATACACGTAAAGATAAAATTCAAAATGAGCACATACGCGAAAAAGTGAGGGTAGCACCTATTGAGGAAAAAATGGTAGAAAATCGGTTGAGATGGTTTGGACATGTACAAAAGAAGACCAAGGGAGGCACCAATGAGAAGAGTGGAACATATAACTTTGAGTCCTGATTAAGAGGGGTAGAAGAAGGCCTAAGAGAACACTCTTAGAAGTTGTTGAACGCGATCTCTTAATTAATAATATTCCTAAAAGTTTGATAAATGATAGAGCACAATGACGTCTTGCAATCCATGTAGCCAACCCCACCTAGTAGGATAAAGGCTTGTTGTTGTTGTTGTTGTTGTTTCCTTTTCCCAAATCTATTAAAACTAATCTAGTTCGCACCCAAGATAGGCATATAACACAAATTTTATTCCAAATATTTTGGGCCATAGTAAAAGTAACAACAAATATCAGCGGCTTTCAAGGTCATAACGACAATATATAGAACACAAAAATAGTTCCTAGTCCCCCAACCAAGGCTATGGGCAAAGATAAGATAACACTGCCTTCTAGAAATCTTGAATGGAGCTCACATACAGCATTGAAAGTTTGAAATAGAAATGTCCAGCGTTGTCTATAAATGGAAAACACTAGCGTGTCAAGAGAAATTGAATAAATCAAGTAATATGGTTCCTGAACCAGCAAATAGAAGAATCAGCGGTTCGATGGGTTTGCCAATGACATGCAATGCCTGTTATAGCTCCTTTACCATGGATTCAATGATATATGTTTTGCGATGAAATAAATTTAAGCGTCCGTGACAACGGGGGGATGTTAAGGCAGCATCAACAGTTTGCACAAATGACGTCTCAAAGCAGATACTACTCAGACCATCTTATTAATCAAATAGAGAATTTAGACCTACATTTCATTGACTTTTCTGTGGCGAATATGAGGAAGTAATTGAGCCCTCCAATCATGTGTATCCATAGCACTTCTGCAACTTACGGAGGTCTCCAATAACCGAGGTCTCCAATAACCGCACCTATTCAATTCAAATTGGCGAAGGTATCAAATGAAATCAAGCTTTGAAAGCAAACGTAGAAATTGAGAAGGTACTTGAAAACAAGCCAAAAGAAACTACTGGTTTAATATGAAAATTATGGACTTAAGATCATAAATACTCTACTGTGAAAACCAAACACCCCCCCAACAAAAAAAAGAGCGCCTGATTTCAGCTCGTGTTCATAATTCAGCAAATTCCTCAAGTGAAGTGAAGAAATACTATGATGTGAAACAAGAAATTCCCCATCTCCATCTTTGAGGGCTTAAAAAGCAATATTCCTGATGGATACACCAAATTCGTTTTGAATGTGTTTCACTTCCGATCAAAAAAACTGATACCTGATCATCCATCGTCTAGAGAATTAAGATTATTTTCCCAGTACTTTCAAATTCTTCAAAGATAGAAAATATTTCCCATATACCAGCCATCACGAAAGGTAGAGAGATTCATCTGAGTGCTAATAAGTACTAGAAAAGTATGGCATAAGAATCTGAGAGATATGATGTTTCCGAAAGCAAACAAAACTAAATTATCAATACAAAGAAAGAGAAGAACAGTAGGATTACTGGAAGTCTACGATCGGCGCCGATGACTGCGAGTCGAGGACTGAGTTGACCGGTTGGTGAGAGAGTGGAGCGAAAGGAAAGGGTGGTTCTGTGCTAGTTGCTGTGGTCGTCACGAAAGAAGCTATTGCCATTTAGATCCTCGCGCAATGATTTGATATTTTGATTCATTGGTATTAAAATTGATTTAAATTTATTATAAATATTAGAGAATTTTGTGCATGTAATAATCAAATCATATTTTTAGATTCTTCAGTATCTTTCCGTTATTATTTTTTATATATTTTATTTGGTTTGATTTAGTTGATAGTAAAAAGTATTTTAGGATACTGCTCCATTAAAAAATATATGATAATTTAAAAAAAGTTAGATATTTAAAAATGTAAGGTGTTTTTAGTCTTTTGAAGTGTAATCATTACTTTTTTTTTAAGTTTTTCTATTGATGAATAATTTTATATTTATTATAAAATATTTAATAAGAGTAAATATAAAAAATAGAATTAATTTAAAAGTAGGTAATTATTTTATTGGGAGGTAAAATTTGATTAAAAATGTCTTACATTTTTAAAGGAGAAGTATATACTCTCAATTATTTCATTCACTTTTTTTTTGTATTGCCAATAAGTTTCTATTTTTCCTTCACTTGTAAATCTCTATTTTCATAAAAAAATAAATAAATTAACAATATTTTTATATTTTATTTTTTATGGTTTTTTATTTCTATAATTAGTCATATATATATATATATATGTATTGAAAATTCAGCTTTTTTCAAAATAAACACTTGAAAAAAATTTCAATATTTATTTAAAATTTTGAAAATAATCCAAATATAAAAATAAAATCACTAACTATTTTGATAATATAGTTTAATTAGAAATAAGTTGATAGGTTCAGGAATATTATTCTAATAATCTTTTAATTGATGCTTAGATTCATAAATTTATATTTAAATTTTCACATTTTGATTCTCAAATATAAAATTTATATATTTTAAAAAATTGGATAATATAAAAAATTTTATAATAATTTATTTTATGCTTTTGCTATATCTATCTTGACGGAGAGCCAGCCTTTTTTTTTTTTAATTTTATTTAATTTATTCATAAGCTCTACTACAAGTCGAGTATCATCAAATCATTTTTATTTTAAGGGAAATATGAGTATGTCATCAAATCTTCGCTTGAGTCCTGCACTTTAAAATGGGGTGATAAGGTGATCTGGAATGTTACTAGAACTGGTAATTTGAATCAAGTCTGATAGACCAACCCAAACCCTTTCAAAAATTTAGGACCAAATACCAAAAAAGTATTAATTTTTTAATATTCAGATCTATCAGGCGGTCCAAATAGGCCAGAGAAAATTCAGGCCAAGTTTGATCGGGTTCGAGCTTGACCGAATACCCAAATTAAAAAATTAAAAAAATATATAAAATATGATAAATATTAATTAATTTTTAAGTTTTATATCATTTTATACTAAAATACTATATATTTGAGTGTATTATTATAGTTATTTTTAAAAAAATTAAAAATAGTTATATTTTCATATTTTTATTATTTTTAATTAATAAAATATCTCAAAATAATATTTAAAATATATTTTTATATTTAAAGACCAATTTTTTGGAAAAAAATTTTTGAGTCCTATACATCATTTGCGCATAAAAAATTTAATTTTATATTTTTTATAAAATAAATAATTAATTTCAAAGTAAAAATAAGATTAAAAATAATTTTAAAAATAAAATTTAGGCATGTACAAATTCTTGACTTTACTACTAGATAAATATACTAAATAGAACAATATTCTTAAATAATTACTTGGTTATTGTCTATGCTACACTTGATTAAAAATTAAGAATAAACTAAAGTAAAAATTCCTTATATGTAAAGTTAAACAATATAAGAAGTTAAAGAAAAATGATTCCAAAAAAAAATATTTTACTCAATAATTAAATAATTTTCTTTATATAATATAATGATAGTTATTTTTCTTATATTCATAAAAATAAAAAGTAAAATTTACCCAAAAGTTATTAAAAATTTTAAACTAATTGAAACAATAATTTTAAGTTAGTAGCCTAATCGTGATTGAATTGAGATCAATTTGATCATAATTAAAATAATATAATTTAATTAAAATATATAAAATATTTATATATGACTATGATAAGAGTAATATTTAAATAACTAAAATATTAATTTACAAGTAAAGGAAACATTCATAAATAAATTATACATAATACAACAAAATAGTAATAGAGCTATTTAAATATAAAGTTGATAAATTATTTTTTATTTTATTCTTTTAATGTTAAAATAATATTTTATGCTTAATAGAATTATTTAAAAATTAAAATTAATTTAAAAATAAAGAAAAAATATTTTAAAAAAGTTTCAGGTATTCAAACCAGCCCGAATAAGCTCAAATCTCGAAAGTTTTAAAGCTGAACTAGGCTATGTGGGCTTTTTAGAAGGGGTAGAATACTTCAAATTTGATCTAAATAAACCCGACTCTAGTTGAGCTCTATCCAAATAAGCTTGACTCGTTCAAATTATCGGCTCTAAATGTTTCAAAGCCTATTGCATAAAACCTTTGAGATAATTTTATTAATCACATGGCAAAGGTAATTGGTCAAAAATATTTTAACTTTTGCATTTCACTATCCAATGAAGGTTGAAGAAATTATGTAACTTCCTAGTGGAGACAAAAATATTTTACCTATTGACTAATATCTTCTTTTTTTTTTTTTGAACGTCCCATATTTTTTGAAAGACAATGAACGTTGAAGTCTCTTGAGTTTATTTTATTTATTGATTTAATTTTTAAGTTTAATTTTTATTGATTTGATCCTTTATGCATTTTAAATTATATGTGAGCCATTTAAGTTTTAAAACACAAGCCAACTCTTAAAATAATTTAAATGTAAAGCTATTGATGAATTGACATATATATATATATATATATAACTAAACATAAACAAATTAACCCCCATCAATTTTAGTTTTATCAATATAATTCCTTACCTAGTATTTTGTTATCATGTTTTTAAAAAATTTCAGAACATGTTTTATTCAAAACTAAATAGTTACACTTTTTTTTCTTAATCTATATGATTGTAATCAATATTATGTTATCCATGTTAGCAAATTTTAACAATATTGCCTTTTTTTTAAATAATACGAACTAACTTAATAACCACGGTAAGTTTAAGAGATTAACTCAATAAAAATTAAAGTTAACAAATCAAATCAATAATTGAGACAAAGTTAAGAACTTAAAAATTACATTATCTCTTTTTTAAAATAAAACTTAGCATTAAATCATGAGGACCTAGGGCTTCATTTGAATTAATGGTTTTCACTGTAAGTTCAATCTCTTCAATCAATAATTCTTTATATATATATATATATATATGAGACAACCTTGGCCCATTAATATTTGTAATATAGAACCCATTTTTAATCCAAGAAATTATAGATTTCTAAGCCAACTTTCTTCACAATTATACAAAAACTCCAAAGAAGATTTCTGATATTATTTTATCTTGCGCATCACAATTTAAAAGAAATATTTCATGTTGTATGTTAGCCAAATTTGTTTCCAATCAATTAATACTATTTCTAATTCTAATATTACCAATTTGTCATTTATTTTACTGAAACCCTTCATTTGAACGAGAAGAAAAATAGGGAGAAAAAAAAACTAAAAGGAAAACTTTTAAAAATTGTAAAAAAATTTATTATTTTTGAAATTTTTTCCTTCTAATTTTCTCTTTTCACTATTTTCTTCCCATCTTTCTCCCCATCCAAACCAAACCTAAGAGCTCATACCCCCACTATTTTCCGATTTGCATGCAATCCTCATTCAGACATCATGAAAATAAACATCATCCCATGTTACTTGTTTTATGGTATCCTTACATGGTAGAAAAAGTAGCTAAGTTCTCAAATTGAAATGGTCAGATGCAACTAAAGGCAGTGTATTCAATTACAAATTAGGAAAGATATCTATACATAAAAAAAATTACACAAAGCTCTATCCGAACATGCCCACATAGAGTCAGAGTCATCATTAGATTGATTCTCAGTCCATATGAACCAATCACCATTCAATTTTATATCAATTAACTAAGTTAAATTATTGTTCTGATGAAACAAATTAAAGCACTACTTTTAGCTTCATTGATTTTACTTTATTTTTTTCTTAGATAAAATACAAAACTTTCATGAACTATATGAAATTATATCCAATCCTTGATAGCAATGAGAGGAGAGCCAAAAAGAGATAATAAAAGGAAAAGGCATAATAGAGAAAGAGAATTACATAACTCATAAGGAAGGAAAACATAAGAGATAATGAGAGACGGTGACAGAGCTAGAATCCTAAGCTAAAGACAAATTTATTTTCAATGTTAAAAATAAGTTAAAAAATTAAAAAATTATAAATAATTACATACTTAATAATTTTTTTACAATGTTTTTATGTTTTGAAATCATTGAATAATTAACTTATTATAATTTAAGGCTCAAATGAGTTTAAAACTTAAAATATCAAGACTATGGATGCAAAATATTAAAAAAATGTGCAAAATACTCTACAAGTAAGAGGGGCATATGCCCATTATCACTTACATGTGGCTCTGCCACTACCGAGGAATAGGGGAAGGGTACGCCACAGAGAAGAGATCACTCAAATCATGCACAACCTTCTCACTATGACTCTCCTCATTTATATAGCCTCAACTTCATGTTGTTGGGGTTTCTTTCTGACTCGGCTTTTCTTAAATGATCACAAGCCACGTGTCTTTTTTTGTCCTAATAAATTTTAAATGAGCTAGATCTAATATTTTTTAACATTTTCTTTAAATCTTTTCAATGCTATTCTAAACTATTCAAATGAAGCGTGGATGGGAAGAAAATGACAGGAAAGAAGACATGAGAAAAAAATATTTTTGGATGAGTAAAGAAAATAGAAGAAAAAATGAAGTGTGGGGTTCATTACGTTTTTCTCTCCAAGTTTTATCTCCATAAGTGGAAATATTTTGAAAGTAAATTTTTTTGTTGCAATATCTGTCCTCATCTCTCACTTCGACCAATTCGGCAACCTCATCATTTTCGTTTTCGATATATATTATAATCATTTTCATATTTATTCATTTTTTTTTCCTATGTTTTCTCTTGTATATTCAATTACAATGAGTTATAATATCATTTTTAGTTTTTTGTCTTTCATTTTCTCTCATTCCATTTTCTTTCTCTTATCTTTTCTGGAAAAGAATAATCCTATCTGGTGTAGTGATTTAGATTTATTGGATTATTTTTCATAAATGTTTTCATGCTCTTTCGCAGCAAACAGCTCAGCACATGTTGCACACTAGATAGATAACCCAGCACACGTAAGCGAAGAATACGTACCGTGGAACCTTCTCAGTGAAGTTTCGGCCAACATGATATCATTCTTTATCAATGCATGGTTTCCTCTGCTTTCATGCATCCCAGTGGGCACATTTCTCAAGGATGCTGTATGCTCGTTTCAGTCTTTAAATAAAAGACAAATTTTGAAAGTTCTTTTCGCATGTAAAGTTAAAATAAGTATTTTTTTAATTTTATTTCTTATTTATTTACTATGATTGGAATTTCTAAAAAAACAATTTATTATAGTTGACATCAGGACTGTACATAGACAGGATCGGGCATCGCTCCTGCCAAGTTAATTATTGTACAGTTACATTTTTGCATTTGTCAATTATTCTGATTTTATACACAAACATTTTTGAATCATATTTTCACCACATATAAAGGATTCTATATACCTGAAAATCAATAATAAATTAAATATAATTCCACTATATCAAGGTTTAGCCCTTGATAGTGGGTATATTCACCCCTCGTTCGGGCAACTTGATAGAGGCTGTAAAAGTTGGAAGTTGAGGAGAAAATGATCAGAAAAGTGGAAAGTAAATGGGGGTGCAAAATTAAGAAGAGAAATTAAAAAGAAAAAAGAAAAGTAAATTTTTTTACTACTTTTTAGAAGTTGATCCCTATTTTTTTCCCTCATCCAACCAAGGAGTATAGGTCCAAGAAGCCACTCCAAATCCTATGCGAGCATTCCTTCTCATTACATCAAAGGCCTTACAAGCCAATATTGCAAAACGACACATTCCAGAGGAAATACACAGAAAACACTATAATCGAAATAGTGGCCTGGACAAAACATTCGGTCCACATTATTTGCAATGGCATGAGAAAATTAGACAATGAGTATGTGAAAATACATCCATCTATAGATTGGTGACAAAGTCAGATAGCCACAGTGGTTGCTTCCTCTTTCTTCTAGATTGTCTTCCTGCAGCATTTCTCTTTCCCTCTGATGGTGCCACCTGCCCTTTTAGAACTTGAGCCTGCCGAACGGACCCTGTTCACCATTTAAAAAAAAAAGAAAAATCTGATTTCCTTAATACCACAAATAACTTTAACAGTATCCTTGTACTTCCTCCAGTCCACAATATAGAGCATCAAGAACTTCATCATGGTTCTTAAAAAAATTAGTTGAAACCTTAATCTTTCTAAACATTGCATATATTTCCAATCATACTCTCATTAAGAGTTCTAGATAAGTGCCTTAATAATGACAATTCAAATTTCAATGAACCATTTCTCTAAAAGGAATAATAAATGAACTAAGGTAATAGTTAGAAAGAAATTATAAGAACTATCCAATGTACCATATTTTGAACCAAGCAGTGGTTCTAGAAAATGCCATATATTACAAGCCAGAGGGAGTATCCTTTCCCAACTATCTTAAAGCATACACCAAAATATATATATATATATATATGGACTCCACAGAAAACATTCAAATTGAGTGAAGACATGTCACATCTTTCAAGACATTTTATTACATTCTGCACACACTTAGATACATTATTTTACATACTCTGCACACACTTCTACACATACACTACACAACATCATCAGCTTAGTTCTTATTAAGTTTTATTCACAGATCAAAATATCAAAGTGCTCTGGCCCCAAAAAAGAAGCATGAAAGTACTATCAGCTCATGACCTTGCATAGGCTATTTGTAGCAAACCATTGTATGGAAACCTAGATCAGACCGGCCGGTTCAGCCCGTGAACCAGTGACCTAGTCTCTTCCCCACTCTGGGTTTCCACCTAAACCAGTCAGTCATTGACCCGGTGTGATCCAGCTGACCCAGCGTCAACCCAGGATAACCCGGCTAACTCAGGCAAGTTGTTGGGTCAGCCGGGTCACTTCTTTTTTTTTTTTTTTTTAGTTGTAAAAACTAAATAAAAGGTAAAAAAATTCATCTTGAAAATTAGAAAAGCAAGGCAACTAAGGTCAAGGCAATTAAACCAGATTTCATTGTCTGTGGTTCGAACTTCGAATAGAAGACCTCAATTGTAAGTTCGAAATTAAAAGATTCAGTATTTTTCTAAGTTAATTGTGCCTTACTTGTTTTAATCTTCTATTACTTGTTGTTGTTCATTTATCTGATTGTTGCTCAACATTTATGAATTATGATTGTCACTGTTGATAATTTTAGTGTTAGTGATTATTAGTTTTAAACTTTTTAATGATTGAAGGGTTGTAAATTGTAATTGTAAGAATGAATATTTAAAAAGTTGTATTTTCTTTGGGTGATTGTAATTCTATAATTATTGTTGTATTTATATCTTGTATTACAGATTAATCTTGGATTTGGTTTAATGTTTTCATGATTAATGTCTTTTTATTTAAAATGTATTATTTTAATCATGACTGATTTGCTCTCCGGGTTGACTCCTGGTTCAGCCCCAGTTGAACCTGTAACCCGTAACCCGTTGACTTGACCGGTTCAATGACCGGTCCAGTTTTCAGTACGTTGTAGCGAACAGATAAGACCATGAAGCTTTTGAATGCCAATACCTGTATCTGAAGGTCCATCCCCGTTGTCACCAAGGTTTGATGGCATTGTCAGCATCTTCAATGATATTTTCCGAAGATAATCAGACTGAAATTAGGAAGTGTTAGAGACGTAAGAAATCACGGCAATCTATGATATTCTACAAGACAAAGTTAACTTACTGCTTAACTTTCGATCACAATTCATCTGCTCAGATGATAATGATCTATCAAGAGGCTGTCAGAATTAAAACTGTGATGCTCTACCTGGCTTGTTGCTGCATCGTAAATCTCCGCCTCAAATGCTGCAGCAATTTTACGAAGTTCATCTAATCCCTCTTGGCCAGAAACAGGAAGACATCTTTTTAATGTTTTCCAATCTATAAGATGAATAACATCAGTTTAATTACTACATATAGCATAAAGCAATAGACAGTCCTGCATATAGCAATACAGTCCCCCAAATAACAAGTATGATCATAATGCACTGTTCACGCCCTTCACATTTTCCAAAAGAAATGCATAGAATTTTAGATTTTGATTAGAAATATAAATGATGATAGTATCAAATACTATTTCTCCTTATAACATTCCACGTCCATTTTCACATTGAAAAGGACCAAAAAGCGACACACTAGCATGGACTCATCAAGCTCAGTTCAGAGTTATACATGGATACCATAACATGAATTTCCTAACTGGAAGAGACTATCTCTTCTGCCCCTTAAAATGCTCCCCTCCACAATAAAAAAAACACAGAATAAGAAGTCCTCTAACTAAACCAAACAAGAAGCAGAATGTAACTGGAAAAAACACAAAATAATAAGTATATTAAGAAACCTCCCAAATATCCAATCAGGGGCGAACCTCTTAAACAAAATTAAATTAAAAATAAGTTCAAGTGTCATAAAGCATGCAAAAAATACAATTCAATAATCATAAGAAAAATTATGTTTTATAGTTCCTGAGCTACAAAACATAATCTTGAGCATTAATCTTAAGTTGGTTATCAATTTAATTCTGAATAAAAAATGAGAGAACTCTAACGAAGTGTGGCAAACGATTTTCCCCCATCATGCAATATATAACCAAAGTGAAACAACATAAAAATTTATACATTTTGTTGATGATTCTTCGGCGACTATCAGGTTGCAGTCCAGCCCTCCAATACTCTGTAAAGGATCATCAAACTTGAGTACCTCCCCAATTCTTCATACTAACAAATTTAGATTGAGGAATCAATAACAGAGTACTTAAATCATATCTGATTGTCGATGGAAAAACAATAGTAGCATAGTTACAAGCACAGAAGACAATAAAAATAACATCAATAAATAATATCAAATCAAAACAGTAATAAATTATTATGACAGAAAAGCACTTCTATCCAAGACAAAATTACAATGCAAATGCACAAAATTTGGATGGTACTCAAATGAAAAACAAAAGGTATTTGTTTGAGATCAATGTTAAAGGAAAATATCATAAAACTTAGCCAACATTCTATATATGATATCAAACAAAAAAGAAGCTGCAAATTGAAATTTTCGTTAGTTGAAAACTATGGCTGAATTGCTAAGAATAAAGTCAGAGTGGACCCTGAACATTCAATCAATACAATGAGTTCAGAGGCTTTAGGATTAAAATCTTCCAAAATCTAAAATGGGTCAATAACTGAATCCAATGGCATAATGGTGACATTGATGTTCTGGGACTTACTTTCACTCATTAACTGCAACATTGAAGATATTTTCTGTAAATAATCTTCCTGAAATTGGGAAATGCCAAAATGTAAGAAAGCAAATCAGCAATCATGACAGCGTAAAAAAGAGTGGGCCACTGCTAAACTTGACCCTGTTAAAACAATACTATCCATCATGATTCACCCATCTGCATAGATGGCCACAAATTATTATATAAATTGAGATTACACGTTATGGTGTATGTACCCGGCTAGCTGCACCAGCATAAGTCTTCTGCTCAAAACACTGTGCACTTTTTAGAACTTCAAGTAATCCATCATCATCACCGTGAGACTGATACAATTTCAATATACTCATTCTACAAAACGAAGAGTTGTTTTACAATGATATCGAATCAAGAAGTTGAGGACTATATGCAATGGTCGAATGAAAAAATATGATCATTGTGTAAGCATCCAGCCCCTTCATTTTTTTTTTTGTGGTTTTTCGTTCTATTGAAAATGAATGATAAGCAAACGTGTCATCTGGAGTGGATTGTTGAAGACTTGTGTCATCATCCTAGCAACTGACAATTCTAAACGTCTTCCTTTTCCCAAATCCATTAAAACTAATCTAGTTCACACCCAAGATAGGCATATAACACATTTTATTCCAAATATTTTGGGCCATAGTGAAATGTAACAACAAATATCAGCAGCTTTCAAGGTCATAACGACAATATATAGATCACAAAAATAGTTCCTACTCCCCCAACTAAGGCTATGGGTAAAGATAAGATAACACTGCCTTCTAAAAATCTTGAATGGAGCTCACATACAGCATTGAAAGTTTGAAATAGAAATGTCCAGCATTGTCCATAAATGGAAAACACTAGTGCGTCAAGAGAAATTGAATAAATCAAGTAATATGGTTCCTGAACCAGCAAATAGATGAATCAGCGGTTCGATGGGTTTGCCAATGACATGCAATGCCTGTTACAGCTCCTTTACCATGGATTCAATGATAGGTGTTTTGTGATGAAAGAAATTTAAGCGTCCATGACAGACAGGGGGGATGCTAAGGCAGCATCAACAGTTTGCACAAATGACGTCTCAAAGCAGATACTACTCAGACCATCTTATTAATCAAATAGAGAATTTAGACCTACATTTCATTGACTTTACTTCGGCGAATATGAGGAAGTAATTGAGCCCTCCAATCATGTGTATCCATAGCACTTCTGCACCTTACGGAGGTCTCCAATAACCGCACCTATTCAATTCAAATTGGCGAAGGTATCAAATGAAATCAAGCTTTGAAAGCAAACATAGAAATTGAGCAGGTACTTGAAAACAAGCCAAAAGAAACTACTGGTTTACAATGAAAATTATGGACTTAAGATCATAAATAGTCTCTCGTTAAAACAAAACCACCCCCCCCCAAAAAAAAAAAAAAAAAAGAGCGCCTGATTTCAGCTCGTGTTCATAATTCAGAAAATTCCTCAAGTGAAGTGAAGAAATACTATGATGTGAAACAAGAAATTCCCCAATCTCCATCTTTGAGGACTCTAAAAAGTAATATTCCTGATGCATACACCAAATTCGTTTTGAATGTGTTTCACTTCCGATCAAAAAAACTGATACTTGATCATCCATCGTCTAGAGAATTAATATTATTTTCCCAGCACTTTCAAATTCTCCAAAGATAGAAAATATTTCCCATATACCAGCCATCACGAAAGGTAGAGAGATTCATCTGAGTGCTAATAAGTACTAGAAAAGTATGATATAAGAATCAGAGAGATGTTTCCTAAAGCAAACAAAACTAAATCATCAATACAAAGAAAGAGAAGAACACTAGGATTACTGGAAGTCTACGATCGGTGCCTCCGACGACGACGACGACGCCGGCACTGCGTGTCTAGCAGTGAGTTGACCGGCTGATGAGGGAATGGAGCGAAAGGAAAAGGTTGTTCTGTACTTTGCTGCTGTGATCGTCACTAAAGAAGCTACTGCCAGTGCCAATGAACCAGAAAAAAAAAAAAACAAAAAGATATTGCAATTTAGATCCTCGTGTTATGATTTGATATTTTGATTGATTGATAACAAAATTAATTTAAATTTATTATAAATATCAGAGGATTTTCTGAACGTAATAATCTAATAATCATATTTTTAAATTTTTCAGTATCTTTCAATTATTATTTTTTATATATTTTATTTGATTTGACTTTGCTGATAACAAAAAGCATTTTAGTATATATACTCTCAATTATTTCATTCTCTTATTTTTTTTGGTTACTAATAAGTTTCAATTTTTCCTTCACTTATAAATCTCTATTTTTATAAAAAAAATAAATTAATTAACAATATTTTGATATTTTTTTATTTCTATAATTAATTATATATATATATATATATTGAAAAGTCAGTTTTGTTCAAAATAAACACTTGAAAAAAATTTCAAAATTTATTTAAAATTTTAAAAATAATACAAATATAAAATCAAATCACTAACTATTTTGATAATATATTTTAATTAGAAATAAGTTAATGGATTCATGAATATTATTCTAATAATCTTTTACTTAATTTATAATTTGAATGGTCCAGATTTAAAATATTATTATATTATTATATATTATAGGAAAAATAATAATAAAATCTCTTCAAAATATATAAATGATAATCTGATCACTAAAAATACTATAATTTTACTAGAATTTTTATAAACTTTTCTATCATTAATAAATTTATATAAATGATCAAATTACCCTCGTTAAAAATAAAATGATTTACAAGTTTTGTTTAAATAATCACAACTTTTTTTCTTATATTCACAATAATAGAATAGCAAATTACAACTTCACATGTTAAATTCTTAATTTACCATTGTATTATTACAAATATAAAAATAAAAGTTGTGATTAGTTAAACAAAACTTGATAATCATTTTATTTTCAACAACGATAATTTGTTTATTTATATAAATTTATTAATAATAAAAAAGTTCTTAGAAACTTTAGTAAAATTATAATATTTTAAGATACTAGATTGTCATTTATATATTTTAGAACGATTTTATTGTCATTTTTTTCATATTATATTTCTTAAAATAAAAATTTATAAAAATTATAAAATAATTTTAATAAATTTTTTATTTTTAATCTGGTTTAGATTTAATTTAAAGGGTCTAATTTTATTAAAATTTTTATAATTGATGTATATTGATTATCCAAATTTATTCTACACAATTTAGAACTATGCAAAGTGCATCTAGATAATCAATATACATCAATTATAAAAATTTTAATATTAAATTAGATCTACTAAATTAAGTCTAGATCAGACTAAAATAAAAAACTTATTAAAATTATTTTATAATTTTTATAAATTTTTATTTTAGTAAATATAATATATAATAATACATTAAATCTAGATCATTCAGATTAAAATCTATGGGTCTAGATTTTATATCAAGGATGAGCATGCTCAACTAGTCCTGGTGATAAGGTGACTTAGAGTGTTTCTAACCTATTACATAAAACCTTTGAGATAATTTGATTAACCACATGGCAAAGGTAATTGGTCTACATTCATTTAACTTTTGCCTTCTACTTTTTTTTTTGAAAAAGCACAATGAAGGTTGAAGAAATTATGTAACTTCCTAGTGGAGAAAAAAAGATTTTACCTATTAAATAATATCTTTTTTTGCAATGTCCCAAGTTTTTTAAGAGCTAATAAAAGTTTCAACTTCTCAAATTTATCTTAATTATTGATTTAATCTTTCAAGTTTTATTTTTATTGATTTAGTCATTTATGTATTTTAAATTATCATGTGAGTTATTTAAATTTTAAAACACAAGCTGGCTCTTAAAATAATCCAATGTGTAAAGTTATTGATGAATTGCCATATACATATAGCTAAATGTAAACAAATTAACCCTCATCAATTTTATTTTTATCAATATAATCCCTTACATTATCTGGTATTTTGTTATCTTGTTTTTAAAAATTTCAGAGCATGTTTTATTCAAAACTAAATAATTATACTTCCTTTTCTTAATCTACATAATTGTAATCAATATTATGTTATTCATATCAGCAAATTTTAATAGTGTTTCTTTTTTTAAAAATAATAAGGACTAAATTGATAACAGCAATAAATTTAAGAGAGTTACTCAATAAAAATTAGAAGTTGACAAACTAAATTAATAATTGAGACAAACTTAAGAAATTAAAAATTACATTTTCTCTTTTTTTAAATAAAACTTCGCATTAAATCATGAGGACCTCAGGCTACATTTGAAGTAATGGTTATCACTGCAAGTTCAATTTCTTCAATCAATGATTCCTTTTATATATATATATATA